TTTAGATGGAATCTAAAATGTGCACACTCTTGAAGTTTTCTTCACAATGATTGCAGACCACTGAAGGCCCACATTCAAGTTTCCATGACAACAAGCGTCTGCCCTGCTGAAGTGTCCTTGAGCCAAAATAAAAAAAATATATGTATAAAAATCTATCTCAGGACTGGTGTTCTAGCGGCTGACAATGACCTCTGACCTCTGAGTGGAGGATCATTTCTAGAGATCAGCAATGCAAAGAAAAAAAATCCAGTGGAGTGACTACACAGTTTGCAGTCAGTGTCAGTGCAGCCTGTTGCTATTTAAACCTTTAGGACTGTACCATCCAGCCCCAGAGGTGGGGGGAGGTTGGTTCCGGGGAGTTTCCTGTGGGGATGAGCCCTGGTGAAGGAGGGGTGGTGTGTGTGTGTGGTGTGTGTGGGGGGGGTCGTGAGCTTGGATTCTAATCCCTCAGGTTTGGCTGCAGCACGGCCTTAGGATAAACTGACATGTAGGCTTTGGACATTTGAAAATGCTACTTGGACTTTAGCTTTTTTATTATTTTTTTTTTATGTTCATGTTGTTCAGAAGTCATTTTTATATTACGGGAATGCCAACTCTGGTAAGGTAACGTTTATTTTTTCAGTGTTTGTTATGTTGTGATATTTAATTTGTTGTTTTGTCAGATAAATTATTGAGGAAGTCAGATAATTAAAATGGAAATGATACCTGCAGTGCCATCATTTGTTTATTGAGTTTTATCTGCTGCAACAGCATCAAAATGCAGCAAGAGTTCTTTCTGAGCCAACAACTATTTTCATGTATAAAACAATATCCATATATCTAAATATAGACATTGCAGTCTATGAATAAATTCTCATCTTGTCAACCTGCTACTTTAAAAAAGGTATATCTAGTGCTACACTTTTTACCATTTGTCAGACACTTCAGCCTTTGATGAAAGAAGAATACTCTCAAACCAGGCTGAATGTAAGAGGAATCTCTCTGTTATGAGGCTCTTGTGGCAGTGTTGTACACAGAAACCAGTTGCAAAAATATGCATTTTACAGCTTAGCAGACAGGTTATCCCCAGAAATCACACAGGATTGTCCTTTGACCTCTGGAGGTCACTGAAGAACTGAGATTAAAATGAATTCACCGCTTTGACGGTCGAGTTATTCCACCAACAAATTCAACACATGTAGCAGAAGTAGTCCAACAGATGTTTTTTTCAAAGAAAATGTTACAAAATGATGCAGCATGTCTGAGTGATAATAAAACCACACAGCTTGTTGTTAATGAAACCCTAATGGTGAAAAACGGTCAAAGGGTCATTGGAATATCAGGAAGAGCAAATTATATTGAGTCAATCAAGTTGTTCTGCTGGAATCCTGTGCAATATTTGGTCATTTTAAAGAAAAAAGCATGTTTCTATTCCCAACCGCTGTTTAGATATAAGTGCAAACTCTACATTACCTCCTCATATACATATGACGAAGCAAATGAGCTGTCAGGTCGAGATCAAACAGATGTGCTGCAGTTGTTGTGAGGCCGTTTTCTTTAAATCGACTTTCTAGGTTAAATCTCAGTTTTAGTTTATGCGCGTAGATAAAAACATCAGTGAAGCAGACTGAGACAGAGAGACAAATAGCACAAACTGCAGGTAAGACAGAGTCACCCTGAAGGGATGATTAAAATATCGCATTAAAAAAATAAAAAAGATGGCAAAATGCGTACATAACAAGTTACACGTCTGAAGTTAAAAATTCATCAAAGCCTGACCCTGGCTGATAATTAATAAAACAGCTTGTAAAAAGCTTTGGCTTCAAGACTTGAGTCATGATTTTGTCAATCTCTGCATTTCTACAAAAGACTAGTTTTGCATGAAAAGATGGATAAAGAAAATAAATGAAATCCAAAAGAGGAGACCTTGAGCAAGGCCCTCACAGCTAGACAGGGGTATGTGGAGCTGCACTGTGGCCAACAGCACAAGACTGTGGTCGTCCTGGAAGCTTGGATTTAATATGAGATGTGTAGCTGGAAAAAAGTCTTCAACTGGACAGCTCTAATAGCCTATCTACTGTGTGTGGGTGTGTGTGTGTGTGTATGTGTATTCTTCCAAATTCCATTATCACAGCATTAATATGTAACCCGGCACAAGTTCCATTGCTCTCTGTAGAATGAGCTACAGAAACTGATGAAGCGCAGACGACAGTGTTTGGCTCAGTCGAACTAATAAATGATCTGAGCGGTAAAAGGTCACTTGTGAAATTGAAATAGCTTTCTGTAAATTACGCTGTGACCTCTCTGCTTCCTGTTAAACCTCAGTCTCACATTGATTTTCATGATTTCAAAGGCGCTCTCTGACTTTTCAACAACGGGACACTCTCAGTGGAAGACAGATCATGACCTATTCAAAATCTGCAGAGGCAGGCATAAAGTCTGATTTGACGTCTGAATTAGTGTCTGCGTGTGCGCGCGCGTGTGTGTGTGTGTTACGGGTGTGAATATAAACACAGATCAATAAGTTATAAGTGAAGGTAGAGGGAGGGAGACAGAAGGGAAACAAGTGAGGACAGGCAGCCTAACAGTTATGTAAGCGCCAGCTGTGAGAGTAAAGGAGCTGCAGCAGGATGATGAAAGCAACACCACCTCCCTCACCCCGACTGAACATCCATCCTCTCACATTCTCTCCTGAATTGTTCTTGTAGCCCATCATTCACGCCACTGAAAGGAAAAATAAATAGACGATTGTGATCCCACCACGGTTGCTGCAGTTTCTCTCATTGCTCCTGGAGACAAAAAACTCACTCATGCATACATTTTAACACAGACTTTGGGATTTAAAAAACTACACATCCAAGAGCAGCAAATATATTTCAGTGCTTCAATTCAGACTTCGTAATCCACCGCAGCTATCGGCCACCTCCATGACTTTCATGATGAAACAATAATGTGAGGCAACAAGGGCAAAATGAAAAAAATCTGCAGTCTTAATCTGGATTAAATTACAGTGTTCGTCATACTGGCTTCAAACCGGAACAGACTGACCCAAACCAAACCGAGCATTGTCAGATGACAAGACTACAACTGTTTCTGGACTGAGCAGTACACATGTTGATGGTGAAATAATGGAAGTGATAAAAGGGGTTGTGGAGGAAAATTTAAACGAAGCAAAATACCATTAATTTGAGAAAATTCCACAAAGAAAATGTTCTAATGTTCTTGTGAAATGTGAAATGTACTTACTGTATACAGACATTCATCCTATCAAGATATTTAGGAGCAATAAAAATATATTAAATGGAGCTAAATTGGTCTGTATGAGGACTAAAATTTGCACAAATAAAACATAGAAGTGCTGTAATGCTAACAGCGAACTGGCTAACCTGAATCTCTTGAATGTCTGAATCTCAATGGTATTGTGAGGTATGGTGAGATTGGGAAAAAAAATGCATTACTGCTGTCGTGGTGTGCTGTTTCTTTATCAACTTCATGACAGAAAATGCTTGAACACCACATTGCTAAAAGCTTCAGCCCTAGTTTGTCTTGGGGAAAGTGTTTACTTTTCTGGTTTGGTGTAAAAAGCAAAAAACAAAAATAAATCAAAAAAATTCAGCCCATGACAACACTTCATATTTCCCTGTAACTTCTGCTGTAAAGGTTACATGGGTAGCTTTACAATATTGCCAAGGTTCTTTAAAGGCATTATAATGTCATGCTCAGACATTGAGGAATGTAGTTGTGCTACAAACCTCACAGTGTGAATGTAAAACAGCAGCAGGAGAAAGAATTAAAAACTGAAAAGGCACCGTTGTACCACGATGGGCTTATGAAGGTTAAATCAAGGTTTGTGTTTTAGAGTTTCATTGTATGACTCAGAAATGAGTCAATCTCTCATGAATAGTGTGCTGTATAGCTGTATAGCTGTATTTGACATTCAACTAAGCCGCTTGGTTGTCTAATACAAAACATTTCTACAATATGCCATCATTTGTTATCTCTAAATTACAGAGGATCCAGCCTCAGGTTTACATTTGCTTGAGTTTGCAAGCGTATGCGCCTGACTTCACCGTGCAAGTCATTTAATCACGTCTGCAATGGATGTGACAACAAAGATCCTAAAATTCAATGAAATTCGTGTTATTGTGTTCTTCGGCGTGGGTGCCTCTGGCCTCTGGTCAGTATAAAAATCAAGACAGATCTGAATGTGTCATCACTGCGGCAGTGCTATGTGATGGATCAAAATGGCGTCAGAGCATTTGAGCGGGGAGACGATGAGATTATCTGCTTGTGTGGAAGGACAAACAGCCTACAGGGGAGACTAGCATTCCTGAATTTCCTTTTCCTGCCACAACACACTTTTCATTCTTTGAGAATAATAACCAGAACTTATTTTAGAACTGAAAGTGCCTCCAAAATAACTAAAGTAAAGAAAAGCTAAAGCTAGCAGCTTACATCCACTGTGGGAGTGTAATTTATAACAACAAAGAAATGCTTTGCCCTTGTATAATTACATGACCTATTGTTGGACAATCACATTCTGGTGTATTTTTCTTGCTTTTCTGGCACTTGCAGAAACCCCTAATGTTTGCATTAAATGAACTGCTGTAAAACCTGTTCAAACTCTAATTGTGACCTGACTTGTTAGGTCGCAAGCTGTCCCAAAAGGCACTGTTGCATAGCAGTGTCTCTACTCTACAAGTGCATTCTTCCTTGCTGTTAAGCTGACAGACAATTTGTGTTGTTTGGTTGTTGTTTCAGATTCAGCATGCAGCACTGTGCAATGCAAGGAAGGTAACCGTTTTTCAACACTGCTGTTGAGGCCTTAAACCTGAGAAGTAACTACAGAAGACCTGCAGTTCTCTCTCGACACCTGGGATCCAGGAGACTGCAGCAAGGCTGAGAGCAACTCACAGCTCCTTGGGAGGATTATGCCATTATAGCTGACAACTTGAGCTTCCTCAGCGTACGTCGGCTACAAGGTAAAGTCAGTCCTGCTCCCTGTGCAAGCAGCAGGAACCATGGATGACCCCTACCACAACAATGTGAACCAGCAGATGACAGAAGGAGGAGATTACACCTACACCCAAGATGGAGGAGGTCAAGATGGCTACCCTTACCAGACAGACTACCCTCCACAAGAGGAGGATGCTGCTAGTGACGCCACTGAAGGGGCAGATGACGATGAACAGATGTATGAGGGGGAGTACCAGGGCATTCCCCACCCCGACGAAATCAAGGAGGCACGACGGGCAGCTCGGATGGAGGCTAGGAGGAAAGCCCGTCAGGCTAACCAGCAGGAAGAGGAGGAAGAAAACCTGCCAGAACAGTACGAGTCCATCATGGAGGACTGTGGCCATGGACGCTTCCAATGGATGCTCTTCTTTGTGCTGGGCCTGGCGCTAATGGCTGATGGCGTGGATGGCTTTGTGGTGGGCTTTGTCCTGCCCAGTGCTGAGAAGGATATGTGCATATCCAACGCTGACAAAGGATTGCTTGGTAAGTGACAAGATAGTTGTAGAGGGTGGAAAGATTGAGATCACCAACATTAGAGTTGCTTTGTGCTGAGTGTATGTGGTGAAAACATTCATAGACAAGGCTTTTGGTTTTCATTCCTAAGCAACAGAACCACCTTTAAAGAAAATAAAAAATAAAAGATTTTACAAAATCACCAGAAGAGAACAACATTTAATTTTCATCCAATGTTGTTGTGGGCATTGAATAGTTAGTACAAGTTCAACAAGACTAAATCGGTGTCACATCCTTTAAAGGGCTTTGAGGTCCTTCAAGTGCCTTTGTAGAAGCCATCTGAAAGCCAAACTGAGCATTGTTTAATGAGATGGTCTGGTCTAGAAGGGACTTCCTCTTTGTACCACTAACTGTTCCCGCCCTTATCCTAGTCTCATGAAGCATAATGCCTGTCGCCTGACAAACCTTAACAGTGGCACATTTTTATGGGTCTTTAACATTTATATTGTTACCTACTTGACTGAGCTGAAACCCCGTACTTACATTTGAGAGTGTACTACTTGGCCACTATTTCATACTGGGAAGTCTGCTTGGAAAAAATCCAGGTATCAGTGTACAATGACTCTTGCCATAGTGAAGGGACATCTCTTGTATCCTTTGTAGCTGGAAAAAAGGAAGTTGCAATTCTCAGCTGCACTTAACCTGGAACAGCCTTGTTGGCCTACTGTTATGCAGCTTTCAAAAGTTGTCTACAGCCGTGCTATCATCTCTAGAAGCTGTACTTAATCTAAAAACCTGATGTAAGCGTGCTATCATGCTAATATTTAGCAGGTACAATGTTTATGATTTTCACCATTGTATTTTAGCATGTTGGGATGTTAAATTTCACTAATAAGAAAACAAAGTACATTTGACAGAGATGAGAAGGTTATTTGTTTTGGAGATATGTGGTCATAAACCAAATTTTTGAAACAGTTTAATTTTAACCTGATGATGGCACCTGATAAAAGGCCAGGGAACAACCAGAGTCATCCAAAGAGGAACATGAATGAGTTGTGTACAAAATTACATGGCAATCAACCCAGCTGTTATTGAGACATCTCACTGGAAGGATTTATCCCCTTTGTACCATGAATCCATGTGCAATCCATCCAACAGTTCCTGAAATATTTCCGTCCAACCAGCTGACGGACTGACTTAACATCCCTTGAATCACGCAGTTAGCATGGCTAAAAACTGATTGAGCAAACTAATTTCTCCAAAACAGATATCCAGCCTTTTGGAAACCTACAAGACTAGCTAATTGCAGTCATCTGTTGAAGAGGTCCAATCTTTATCCAGGGAGGAAGAACTCATCAGTGAAATGATCTGCTGTTGTGCTTGGCTGGAACAAAATCCTGCATATGCTTGGCTCTTGATGGCACATGGCTGCAGATCACTGCATCAGACAGAAATATCCCCCAGCCTCTGGGCCAAATTAGGGGAAAGGCTTGGATCTTTCTAGGCAATGTAAAAAATAAAGAACATAATCAACATTGTGTGTCCTAATAGAGTATGGGTCCACTGTGAGCAACCAGATTAGCTTCACTGAGCCTTGGCAGTAGTACTACATGTCTCTGGAAGTTGACTTGAGGGCACCACCACACGTTTTAAATATGCTTCGTAGACACAGGAATATTCTTACACTGTTGAATATATTGTGTATGGAGTTTTGTGTATCTTTTCTTTCAGCTAGCTTCCCAAATATTTACCACAAGGCCTAACCCCTCAAAAATGATTTGTATGCAGCATAGACCCCCTTACTGGGAAATGTACCTTGAAAACGTCTGTTCCTCACTTTCTGTGCAGACAACTAAACTGCAAATTAAAGCCTCTCACCTTATTTCCCAGACCTCGTGTGTAGCCAGGCGATGTGGCAGATTGCTCATCGCTCATTTCATCTTAACAACAGGCTCCTGGGATGAAGCATTGCGAGAGATTGATGAGGAACCCAGTGGTGATTGTATTCAGTGTGTGTTCCCAGGCTAATATGGAGCATGTTGCAGCAGTCAGAGATCCTGGCGGCCTGCAGCGCCTGGTGCAGAGCTGTCAGATACGCTTCAGGCCTCTGACAGGCTGTGGTAGCAGGAGGAAGGCCTGGTGAAAATGAAATCACAGCATCTGTTTGTGCAGAGCGGGAGGAGAGCACTGATCATTGGCTGAGAATATGAAGTAGATCTGCAGAATGATCCTATTTGATTCACGCTCATGCTCTGTTCACCAGACACAAGGGAGCAGAAATGTGTTTAATCTTAACTTTCGTCTCGGATAGCAGAAAGACTCTCAAACCTTTTGTTAAAGAGAGAGAGGATTGGTGGACTTCCCTTTAATGCTATTGATTAATCTACAGAGTAAAGATATAAGAGGTTCGTAGAGGTAGACACAATGCTGGAGAAAAGAATACCGCGCTTGATGTGACGGGGAGATTTAACTCCCAACTATCTAAGGGAAAATCAAAGTGCTAAACTTGCACTGCAGCTAATGGATTTCTTGAATAAAAGCAGAATTACAATTAAAAAGGTCATGCATAAATTATGAGATAGCTCTATAATGCCTTTGTCCTGTTATGAAAATGTTATTGCAGAATTTCTTTGGTGCTTTGCATTCATTGCTGCAGTGCTTTTGCTCTATAACTCTCAGAAATCATGTCAGTGTAAAATAACTACTCAGTGTTTTGTGTTTAAAGTTTCTTCTGACTTCTTTGCAACTATTGGCTAGTTTGTCTAAACCAGGTTTTACTATTGCAAGTCTTAGTTTGGAAATATGTCAATTTGGACATAACAAGTGCTATGAAACATTAAACTTACCTATCAATAATTTGTGAATCTAGGTCTCTTTTACAAATGCATACACTGAGAATTATGTGTTTTACAGATGGCACAGTATTCATCCAGTTTTGAGGGAAATACTTGGCTTTGACAATATAACTAACATCATCTGATCATTTTGTCAGTACATGATGGTGGTCAACTGAGATATATTGGGCTTTTTTTTTAATGTTACTGAAAAAAATTACATCATTGTTCAAGAGGGTTTTAATGAAATGTTGCTCTAGGAGTGACACTAAAGGCTTTATAGACTTGTTACTATTTTAAAGGTAGTAGCAACTGTATATGATTTTGTGGTGAAACAGTTTTTTTTAGGTTGTTTGCTTTGTTGCTAAGCTAAGCTTGAATTTAGGAAGTGTTGTTGCAACTGACTCTGAACTAGAATCTGGAACAGCTTTCAGTGACAAAGTTAGTTTGTTCTGTTTGAACCGCTCTGAGAGAGAGAATACCAAAGCTGATGTACGGCGGCTTTCCATTGCAGGAACTCAGGACAAGTTTAAAGTGGTGCTAACATTTATAGGAACGGTCCTGTTATCTGCCCTTTCAGCCTTTCTGTTTCCATTGCGATCAAGGACCTGATCGTTTTAAATGCATCATTAACTCTGAGTGCACAAAACAGAATGACAAATAGTAGTTTCTGGGTGTAATTCCACCTCTATCAGCACTTAGGAAATAATACAGTGTAGGTTTGCTAAATTGGCATATATGATGATGTTTATGTTGTCAAGAACAAAGTCTCTGAGAAGACTGCTTCTTGATGAGAATATTTAGAGGGCAGACAAAACGGTGCTTGTTGTCCTCCCTGAATTTAACCAAACAGCATGGAGCTTCCCCAGTAGTTAATTCAGGGTCGCTCAGAGGTGCCTACTCTGGAGTTGGTGCAGTTTTCTGTTCTGGAAACAGCCCTGAAAGTGGTTCTAAGGGCTGGTTCTTGGGGTTGGAACACGCTCAAGGCCTTCAGGTTCCTGCAGTGTAAAATGGCTTATTGTAGGCAAATATGGTAAATCATTACATTAAGGTTTTTCACTGCTATCAGGGCATTTTGAAAAAATAATATCCGGCGTCAATTGTAAAGTATTTCTAAGAGTCATGTTAGACTCTCTAAAACATGACCTGCTGTTTAAGTAAGGAAGTGTAGCTGATGCTAGAACATCAGTAGTCAGCTCAGTTTCTACTGTTTGGATGTAAACTGAATGAAGCGTCATCTATTCAAACTGAACAGCCTGAGATCTGTTTTACATTTGTCAGAGGTCGAGCATTTCTTCAGTCAGTATACTGTACATTGTGTATTTGGTGTGCTTTCAAGTTGAATTTTTTTTTTTATTACATTCATTCCACTCGTCTTCTTGATGTGATGAATACACTTTTAGTGCTTTCACTTTTAATACTGCAAAGAAAAGATCAATTCTCCGTTCCTCTCCAGGGAGTCAGTGTCTTCACTGTGCTCAAGGACACTTTGCAGGCTTGTTGCTGCTGGGACGAATCCAAGGCCTCCAAGTGAAGGACAGGCTTTCTTATCACAAGGCCATCCTGTCAACCTGTCCATGCACATATCCAAGGCATACACATTGCCTTAAGCAACAACCTGACCGAGATATTAGGTGACATGATAGCTTTGACTCTTTGTTTCCCTGCACCCCGAGCAGCCTCTTTATTGAATGGGATGTGCAACTTGGCGTGTGGAGCGTCAGAGCATTTGGATAGTCTAGTAATCCACGGGGAAGGTGCACACTATGGCTCCACGTGCCGTTAAGCTGCTTAGTTCCTCTGTAATTAGGGCTGTGTAGTAAAAACACAGAGCAGGCAGGAAGTCGAAAAGTTTAAACAACACAGTGAAGAGGATGACTGAGGTTGTAGGTTTAAGTCCTGCGACAGACAGAATGTGTTCCTCTCCCTTAGAAGAAGAAATGGCAGAAGAGACCACCTGCCTGCTGAGTGCTGCTGCAGACTCCCAGACCCCTGTGAGTCAGAGTGGGAATCTGCAGTGATAAAGCAAAGTCATAATAAAATATCATAGAAAACCCAGATAACAGCAACTGGAGCAACACTTGTGAACAAAGCTGAAAGCAGGTTTTAAAATATACAAGGTGAGCGTGGTGGAAGTGAAGCACTCTTACTGTAGATGCCTCCAAATTATTGTGACCTTTATTTTTCTGTCATCTTCCACAGAATGTTGTTATCAGTCTGGGTGTATTTTCTTGGTATGTCACTGTGAAATGCTGAATTGTTGATCAGAGCTCAGATGTAAGGATGCGTCATACTGAAATACAGCAGGAGCGATGATGATTTGTGTCCATGCACAGGTAAAGGGAGCCCCCTTGTGGAGACAATGAATGCTGGCCTTGAAGTGTTGCATGTGTCTGTAAAGGCTACATTCCAAGTGCACATCAGCAAGTGAGTGACTGTATGCGTGCATTTGCAGGTCTGCTGGTGTATGTGGCCATGATGGTGGGCGCGCTGGTGTGGGGCGGCCTGTGTGATAAAATGGGGAGGAGGAAGTGTCTGATCTACGTCCTGGCCATCGACCTGATCTTCTCCTTCCTGTCCTGCTTCGCTCAGGGCTACGGCTTCTTCCTCTTCTTCAGGTTCTGCTCCGGATTTGGGTGAGATGCACATTTATTCACATCTGAATAATCTGATTGGTGGACGCTCTTCTATTGAAACAAACTTGAAACTTTTGGACACAGTGTGGAGGATGGAAACACTGGGCTCCCTTGGTTTATGTCTACTAGTTATCAGTATAACACATTCTTAAGGCTGACCTTTACAGTATTTCCAGGCCTCTTAAAATAATTCAGCCTATCAACAGTGGAGGATAAATGTTTTTTTGTTTGTTTGTTTTGTCTTTTAATTAAGACATGTAAGACATAAATAAAAGAATTTCAGCCAAATTTTGCGTTACAGTTTGTGTAATTCTAAATCATTACACAAAGATTTTTAAGATTTTTACTACCAACGTAAATTATTTGGTCTCCTTAATCTCTAATAATAAGTAACCTGAAAAAAACCCATATCAGGCAACCCCTAACACATGTGGCCTGAAAGGTTACATTCTGCCATATAGCTACTCTTAACTTTACATATTGTGTTGTTTAGTGCTTCATTATATCTTCATTATATCCCCTATTTTAGTGGGCTATTTTAGATTTTAGGCCATCAGTTCAATGCAATTGTCATTCTTTCGGTGTCTCATTGACCTTTACAGTGATGAGGTTTGACAGCACTTTTCCCTGCTATTATACAGTCAAACTAATGCTGCTCCATGGGCTCCAGCTACAGGAGAGAATAAAACAAAGAAATGTTTTGTTCGTGCCTTTGAACCACTGTCGACAGGAGAGATGCAGGAATATTACATACAGTAAATGAGGGGTCTTACAGCGCCATCTACTCCACGTGATGCAAGTGCAGCATGCTGGTGCACACAACAGCCCCACACTGTTAACACCACCTCAAAGACACTCTACATGCACGCTCCACACAAGGAGCTTTCTGTTTATTTACTTCGAAAGAGCGTTTCTTTATCACACTAATTAAAACAAGTGAACAATGCTCTTTGCTTGTTTTTCATTTCAGCTTTATTGCTCAGTTCCTGCTGTCGCCAGCACCTTACAGTGAAGCTATTGCTGTGCACTGATTGATTTTGCAACTTTCAAAGACAAATTTCTTTTGATAATGGTTGCAGCCTGAATGTAGCTAGACTTGCAATACTGAGATTTGAGCTTTTTGTTAAGACGAGAAATACAAGGTCACTGAAATGAAGCACTCAGCTGTTGCTAATTCAAGCTGATAATGAGCCCCGTGTTCGTCATTAACACTCACATCTGCAGAGGAACTGTACACATTTCACAGAATGCAGAGAGCAGACAGACTGAACCCCACCACACAAAAAGAGAGACAAATCTTCATCGATGTCGAACACGCTGATGTGATATTTTGTCAGGTGCATGTGCGGCGCATGGTTGTTTTTCCACAGTTTATGCCAGGTTTAAAGCGGAAAATGTCACAGAAAATGAAACAGCATCAACATAGCGGGTGATACTGCCTTAAAATAAAACACTGATGCTGTTTTTAAGCTCTAACCCATGACTGTCACCAGCGCTGAAACTTTCCTACCCCGAGGCTCCAGCCATAAATCAATCACTGTCGTGATATGAATAATTTCTAAGTCATTTTCCTCCTAACAAATCCTCAACTTAACTCCCTGGTCTGGTCAGTCTTGGCATCATGCTTAATGCCACCAGCCAGCTGAACAAATTGATCCCTCAAAAACAATCCATGAAATATTCAGATATACCAGTATTTCTTCAACCATTATGCAAACAAACAAAAAAAGAAGAAGAAGAAAAAATATTTAAAATTGATGCCACTACATTTAGATTTTCTTGCTCTGAAGTAAATTTGTATATTGGATCTCAACATTTGTTTTTCCAGAAGCTGCTCCAGAGGTAGATGAAGTCATTAATACATTTCAAAAGTAAAGTTCTGGTAACATGACAATAAAGGTACTTTTTGTTCATTCTGCTGTTTTGATAACAGCAAACTCAAGTCCATGCACTCCCAGAGTAATGGGCCAGAGACAGTTAGATGCCTCAGAACTATCTGCATAGTTAGATACCGGCATTAACTGCAAACAGACAGGACGATAACAGAAGAGTTTGGTGAGGAAAAAACAAACATGTGTTGCGATTCCTTCTCCAGAATTGGCGGCTCCATCCCGATCGTGTACACCTACTTCACCGAGTTCCTGCAGATGGACAAACGTGGAGAACATCTGAGCTGGCTCTGCATGTTCTGGATGCTGGGAGGCCTGTATGCCTCCTTCACTGCCTGGGGAATCATTCCTCACTATGGTAACACAAAGACAAACGCGTGTACAGTTTGTATGACACATGCACGCACAGTGAAATGTACTGTACAACTGCCAACTCAGAATTCAGAGTTGTTAGCTGTTTGTTTCACTTTAATTGAAATTCAATTCACTGCAGGAACATTTTGGACTTTTCTTCTCTCAGTCAGCACGATTCGGCTCAATTAGTTTAATAGCTCCTCTTGGTACTTGCTAAAGTTATCACAGCAATTATGTTCTCTACAAATTAATTATTCACATTAAAACAACTAAAAATCTAGCCATCATCAGGTTTACAAAAAGAGTTCAAAGCGCAGTCACAGCTGTCTGCATGTTGTTGACTCTCAATGATTCAAATGTAAATGATGCAAAAAGAAAAATGCATCTTTTGTATAAGGATGGATTTTGTTGCGCTACAGTAATTCTGTAATTTGGTTGTTAAAATATACTGCAGACACTGAAATATTAACATATTCTTTCCAGGCTGGGGCTTCGCCATTGGTTCAGAGTTCCAAATGCACAGTTGGAGGCTGTTTATTCTGGTGTGTCTCTTCCCTGCCCTGGCTGCACTCGTCGGAGTTGTCTTCATGCCGGAGAGCCCTCGTTTTCTGCTGGAGGTCAGAAACAATGAAGCCAGTTCGAAACCCCCTTAGTTTGAAACCTACCTGTGACGTCCTATTCAATGACAGTGTACAGTATTAAACACGAAGCTGTGATTGGCTAAAACCGTTGAGTCATCAGCCACCACAGCAACATCCCACTGCAGTGCAAAGGTAGCGAAGAGCTGCTAAGGCATCACCAGAACAACACCCACCCCTGTTTCTCATCCAGGACATTGTCAAACCTTTAACCACATGTGGTATTGTGTTTGTGTGTTACTGCTGCAACACTCCCCAAACCTACCCCACTTCTGCCCCTCTGATAAGAGGCAGAGCTAATGGGAACATTGTTACACGGCTGTGTGTCTGACTGCAGTGTATGTGGGAAAGTTTCAGTGGTCAAACCGAGACCCATGATTAAAAGAGTCGTTCTTATATATAGAATCCTATACTGTATAATTTCTGCAACACATACCAAAAGCCCTGAGAGGTTTCACAGAGCGCTCTTAAACGTGGTTACATAGACATTCACAGATTTGTGTGTGGTTTTTCAGAATGCACGACACGATGAGGCCTGGATGATCCTGCGACAAGTTCATGACACCAACTGGAAAGCCAAGGGGGAGCCAGAGAGAGTCTTCACTGTAAGTCTCCATTCACAAAACAACGTTGCTAATTTATCCGAATAGGTACATGTAGCTAAAGGCTGTTAAGACTGATAGTCAGCTTTATACAGGAGAGGCATAGGGTGATGTTTTATGGTATATATATATATTTTTAGACTACCAAAATCCTCACAATTATATCAGTTAGGGGATATATCTGAAATGAGCCAAGGCTTATGAACACAGAGTTTGGGCAGGCTGTGACAGGTTGTATTGTCTTTGGCAGGTCTTTTCTACATAACTGCAAGAGCACACTTAGACCAAAGACTGGCTAAAATCATGACAGAGTCTTCTGCTTTTGAAAACATGCCAGGGTAAATAACTTCCACTTAGGGTTGCTTCAAGAGGGCACAAGGTGCTAACTAACAGGATATGAAGGATTAATAGGATGCACGGATGTTTTTTTTTAACTGCCTTTTTTGTTTTTTCTTTGTGAAACTCTTTATGTCTCATATCTATCATGTGTACTTTTCTAGAAAGTTAATACAAAGGTGATGGCTATGTCCTCTTTCTGTGTAGGTGACCAACATTAAAACGCCACAAACTCAGGAAGATGAGTTCATAGAGATCCAGAGCGACACTGGAACTGCCTTCCAACGCTGGACTGTCCGACACATGACCATGCTGCAGCAGGTCTGCAAAGCCATCTTGCACTAGAATAAAGTAGAGTTGAATGGGTGGAGTAAAAGAAGTTACTTTGCATGTGTTTCTTCTTCCTGCAGACCTTAGATGTCATCTGGATTGTCTGTCTGTCCCTTCTTTCTGCAGGTGATGGCCAACGTGATGTCATTATCAGCTCCAGAGCTCAGGCTACAGGGCCTCTTCCTGGTTATCATCTGGTTCTGCATGGCCTTCAGGTAGCGTCATGCCATTTAGCTTCTCAAGCCACATTGAGATTTGGAGCTAAACCATACTAGGAGAGTGCACTTATTCCCCAATCTCCATATTTTCTTTATTATGCAGCTCATTTTGGCTTTATGTGCTCAGGTTTTGTATGTTTCTGTGTGTGTGTCAGCTACCATGGGTTGGGAGTGTGGTTCCCTGATATGATCAAGTACATGCAGTACGAAGAGTACGAGTCCAAAGTCCGAGTGTTCCACCGAGAACGTGTTGAACGCTTCCACTTTAACTTCTCTCTGGTCAACCAGATCCACCGCGAGGGAGAGTACGTCCATGACAAGTACGTTTCCTGAACTCCACGACTCTGTCACCGTGTTCATACCATATGAGGCTACTGCACACAGTGTCACTGCTTAATGTGCTTTCTTTCCTTCCATTTAGATTTGCAAACATCGAAATTAAGTCTGTCAAGTTTGAGGATTCTCTGTTCGAGAACTGCTACTTTGAGGACGTCAAATCAACCAACACCTTCTTTGAGAACTGTACCATTAAAAACACTGTCTTCTATAACACAGGTACCATACCAAGCTGCTGTGAAACTGTTATTTTTAGCCAAAGCAATGTGTTTCGCCTCCAGCACTTAGAGGAAAAACTTTGTACAGACCAAAATAACTGTTAGTATTGACTCCTTTTAATACCCTCTGCCCTCTCTCCAGACCTCTGGCAGGAAAAGTTTAAAAACTGTCGAATGGAGAACTCGACCTTCCTTCACCCAAAGAAAGGATGTCATCTGAACTTCCAGGAGGAGAATGACATCGTCATCTACATGGTCAGCTTCCTGGGCAGTCTGGCTGTGTTGCCAGGCAACATCATCTCAGCCTTGTTCATGGACAAGATAGGAAGAATCCGAATTATAGGTGAGATCAGCAGAAAATGTCTATACAGGACAGAAACTAGATTAGTTTCAGTGCGTCATCATGTATTTGTGTATCTTTCCAGGTGGTTCTATGTTGGCGTCATCGGCCTGTACTTTCCTGCTGCTGTTGAGTTTCAGTCAAGGAGCTGTAATATGCTGGCAGTGTCTCTTCTATGCCGTCAGTGTTGCAGCCTGGAATGGACTAGAAGTCATATCTGTGGAACTCTATCCTTCCTCTAAAAGGTACAAGCCAACTCTATGCCATCAATGAAAGCTCTACCTTTCTACAGTTCAGTTATAACCTCTCCCTTGAAAGGCTTGGTTCAACATACCACCTCAGTCAAACAGCAAATGTCCAATCACAGCTTAACAAGTGTAACTGGGCACAGCAGGCCTGTCAGGCTTTAAAGTTCTCCACATGTTGAGTGCTGTGTAAGGTAGTCAGAGAGATATTTGGTATCAAAAGCATTTGGCAGGTGGTTTCTTTTTTTACCTTTTCAAACAGAAAACAATTCAACGGTGTGTTTATCTGTTCTAAAGTCAGCTGCCAGCATTGGCATCCACAGCCAAGCACAATTTCTTCAGCCAATTATTGTGTCTGGTACCAAGTTACAAAAAGCAACCCTCAGGGTAGAAGCATCCCTGGTGTTGGAGCCAACATTACCATCGGCAGCTTTCCACACAGGGCAGACTAAGTTGGTGTGAATGCTTGCAGGAATAACCCCTTAATGACCCCTTACGTGCTTTCGGTTCTTATTATGATGTAAGGTCCAACAGTTTCAACTGTGTAATTGACACTTAGTGCACAAAAAAAACGACAAATACTAGGCGCTGGACGTAACTCCAGTTACATGAGCTCGAGAACAATAGAACAATGAAGGGTTAGTTATGTTGAAGATGGCGACATGTGAGAGAGGAGAGGACTGCTACTCAACAAGGACATCAAGAGGGCAGAAAAAAAATATTGTTCTCTCAGAGTTTAACCAATCAGTATTTGTTTTCTGAGAGTTTACCCAAGCAGCATTGAGCATTCTACAGGGGTTCTTGTACTTGGAGCATACACAAAGATACCGGCAGCCTCACAATGGCAGCACTTTATGCAATGAAAAATCACATCAGAATTAAGACTAGTGTAAGTTTACCATCCAGTAACTCCAGTCAAACTTAGCACCCAAGATGGAGCGTCATGTGTTAGCTAGTCTTCATCCTCAAAACGTTTTCCTTGTGTGAAAGGGAAGCACATTGTTGCTATGATATGAATGCTAATACATCTAACCAGTGCTTTCATATTGTGTAGAGAGGTAGGTCATTACAGTTTCCCAGCAGAACGTTGTATTATGCTAAGATGATCGATGTGATTCACTTCGCCTGTATAATTAATTCATCCGTTAAGTTAAGCCAAGTAACACGTCTACTCCCTCCCTGTCTTTTTACCTTGCAGAGGGACAGCGTTTGGTATCCTGAATGGGATCTGCAAGTTCGCAGCCATTGTTGCCAGCTTCATCTTTGCCGCTTTCATCGGCATCACTAAGATCATCCCCATCTTCCTGGCCTTCGCCGCTCTCGTCTGTGGAGGTCTGGTGGCCCTCAAGCTGCCTGAAACCCGGGAGAAAATCCTGTCTTGAAAAGCCAAACTCCTGCAGCCTCCGGGCCCGAGACACAGTGTAGTATGTTTTGGGGAAAGTGTCAGCTGGAACTGAAATAGAAAAACAAGCGAAGAAAGGCCACACTGTGGTAACTGTGTTTATGAGTCTGTCACGGTGATGATTAACAATGTTGAAAACCTGTCTGGTTGCCTACATGAACCTGTGGTTGCTTTCTGTTCCTTTTGTAAGCTCCTCAGGCTGCCCAGCATCTCTGTCACATCGTATGAAGCTAGTGTTTGTCGTCCTCTGTCACCCCGTCCTGTTCACACACAGCGTAGCAACATTTGTTTTGTTTGAGGTTTGTGTAAAAGATTACTATGAGATGAAAATGTGTCTGTACTTGAAAGGTGATGTAGTTTATGTTACCATGTTGTGCTTTGATTTCATTCCCTCTTGGAGAAGGAGAGAGAACTTATAGTGATAACTTGAATTGGGTTAGAATCCTGCTGTATTCACTGCTGAGGTTCAGCAGCGATATTACTGCTGGTGTTGTCATTCGGAGAAAACACCTCTTTCATTCACCCAGTCTTTATTTATTCTGCGCTGTCCTGTGGTGTCTGTAGTCCTCTGTAGTTGTTGATCAGTTTGTTCTCTCTAGACATAAACCTGGACAGACCATTTTATTAAATGTAGGAGATATTTTTTTATTAAATCCACTCCTGTTTATTTCTCCCCGCTGATCCAAATCCAACCCAAACAACCTGACTGGCTTCTCCTCCCTGTTTGTCGTCTTGTCCTCGACTCTGAGACGTCGTGTCTGTCCTCAACTGTAGAGCTGTGTTACGTAGGTGGTGATAATGTAGAATCAGAGTCTTATCTGTCACATCTTGCCATGACAAAATGTAAGGAACTGTTTAATTTGTTTTTTCGTCTTTTTCTAAAAAAAAAAAGAGAATGATACAAAACTGTGAGATTAGATGTTTTGATATGATGCTCTCATTTTACCGTTCTGATGAAGAACTGAATTGCAGAACTTGCTGCATTTCTGACAACATGTGTCAAGATTTCTAAGGAGCACGTTACTTTTTTGGCATGACTGAGCAGTGTGCATGTGTGTGGTTGTTATCCACGCGTCTGTGAATTTACTGACAACACAACAGTCTGACTACCAACACTGTATTTGTTGTTGTACATATAGACCTGTGTATATTAGTTGTAACATATTAGCTGCATCATGACTTGAATAAAGCTGAGGGCTCATGATCCAGTTTCCTGATTAATAACAGATGCAACATGCGCAATGAATATAATTGACAAGTTTGAATGTTATATCAGATTCCACTTACAGAAATACTTCGATAATCTGGGTAATGAATGCTTCTCTTACTGTCTAAATATCTGAAACATCGAAGTATCTAGAACTAGCATCCCAAGATTACATACAGAGTCAACAAAATCGTGAGAGAGAGAGGGGGATCATTTTTCCTGCAGGGATTTTCTAGTTTGAAATCTCACAAAAGCATTTAAAATAGAAAACACAAATTAACTTTATTTCCATTTACTGCTTTGGGATGAGTAAGCCATAGACATAGACATGTATAAACCTGAAAAGAACCCTTGGTGACGTCACTCATTGGTTTTTTGAACAGCGGCTCAGTGTTGTGGGTCCAACCTTTGCCATCTCTGCAGTACCAGTGTCCTCTTATCTCCAGTTAAAGCAAAAATGAGCAGAGATGTGAAGAAAAAGAAGCTGGAAACATAACCAGTTATTAAACAAACTCTAAAAAACTAAAGAAAGAAACAAACTTTTTTCATCTGAGAAAAATGGAGAAAGTCTTCAGAAATTCTTTTCAGTTGGGGAAGTTTTCATTATTCTTTCATGTCAGCAATACTGAGTTTATTTCATGCTGTCCGGAGGCAAAGGGAATGAAAGAAGCAGAAACAGTTGATCAGTTATGTGAGTTGAATGTAGACTACATCAGAACTTGTTCAACAAAGGGGTTTCCATCTCACATGACGCACATTACCTCTTTTTTGGAAAAAGTCAAAACCCACCTCAAGCAAGTGTAAAAACTTTTTTTTGATTCCATTAACTTTTTTTCTGGTGCAGAGCCTCAAAATGTCCATCCATCCATTATCTACCACTGCTTAATCCTCACTAGGGTCGCAGGGGGGCTGGAGCCTGTCACGTTGAAGGCAGGGGGCACCCTGGACAGGTCACCAGTGTATCGCAGGGCTACACAAAAGGACAGACAACCAAGCACACTCACATTCACAGACAAGTTAGAATCACCAATCAACCTCAGCATGTCCTTGCCGGGACACGAACCAGGGACAAGGCAATGGTGCTAACCACCCAGCCCATATTATGTATTACAACATAATGTAATGACCCTATAGGTTAGGAGAAATAATGTTTTCTCTGCCATTTTGCTGTGACAAACATGGCTACTGCAATTATAGATGACTGTTACAGTTGTGTGGCATTGCAGCTACTTGAGTTAAATTTACAAAATTTCAAAGTGCACTGATTTCGTATCCCGTTTTCAGGACACTGTAATCTTTAGCTCTTGTCTTTAACCTCAGTGACTGCATGTTTCTTGCATAAAACCACCTGAAAATTGTATTTGTACAATCTTGTATTTTTTTTTATCATGGTTGCAAATATTTTCTGATACAGCTGTTAATCTGTTTTTTCTTCAGCGACAATGCACGTTAATCAGTTCATCATTACGCTAGATGGCAAATTTTCAACTGTTGTCCCAGATGCTAAATTAGTGATTAATCAACGACTCAATTAATTTAGAGTTTCACACTGATCCAAGCTGTAAAAGTGCTCCAACTCCAATGAGATACATCCATTCAAAAAATATAGTGCAGTAACCACAGAGGGGTTATGTGCCAGACTATTTCTTGGCAGATAATGGCATCAGTCTCATCTTATACTTGGCAAGGAAGCGAATGAGCACATTTCCCTAAATATTGAACTATTCCCTTTGACGTGATGAATGATTTGACAACTTACTACAGCAAATACCTGTAATGTGTGAAATAAAATCACAGAGGCTATCGTAAATTTTCACGGTTGTCCTCACGAGATATAAAGCTGTCAGGGCTGATTAAGCTGAAAACATTTGACACTGTCCTTTACTTTCCAAGGAAGGTGCACCGGGAACATTTAATGTGATAAAGTCACAAATACCAGTAGGACGTTTTAAAATATGTCCACTTAATGGACACATAGAAAATTAACATTCGCACAGTCTTTTCTCACTCTGACAGAAGAGCATTGAGTGATTTATTTTGTTCTGTGATATAAAAATATTTTTAAATGGCGTTTTATTTCAGTGTCTTTGCTTTGTCAGGAAAAATCTGAAATGTCAGTGTGAATGTGAGCTCACATTTATTACTGGAAATGTGTGCTCTTTCAGACATGATATAATGAGTGGGAGCTGAACATATCTGTTCCCATGTCAGGGGCAGCTGTGTGATGGAGGAGGGAGCAACTTGTAAAAACATGGCAGCACACAAGTGTGAGCAAGTGCCAATAGTAGGAGGATGTGTTTACTCTGGCTGAGGTGTGAAACACACTCTGCTGATGTGTCCACCAGCCTTATCAGGATGTCTGATCACTGCAGAGGGCAGCCAAGCAGCTTCTCTGGGACTAGTAGTTAAATTCAGTCTTATTAGACTTTAGTTACTGTGAGGTTTGACCAATTACTGCTGCTCACAGTAACGTTAGGTATGTTTCTACCATCTAAGGAGGAGGAGGAGGAGTAATGATACAATATCATCAACATTCATGTCAATCGTCATCTCCGGTTTCCTGCTTGCAAACAACATTTTTTAATTTTACTTGCTATGTCCTTTAACTAAACTTTGTCACTCACTCGCAATTAGATGAAATTTACTGTCCACCTCTGTGTGACCTCTGCAGTTCCAGCAATGTTTCACACCTAGGGTGCAGAATGTGTCCCCCTCACTTGCTACCTCACCCACTGATGCGCNCACACACACACACACACACACACACACACACACACACACACACACACTAACTGACAACATACCCAACATTACCACACATCAACTTCAGTGCTTCCTCAGCAGTCCCGTTGGCTATCTTCATCGATGTTATCTGTCTAATAATGTGACTTCTGAGCTCTTTAGTCTGGTCATAATAACTGACCAGATCAGAATATTCTCTAAAGCAGCACATTTCAATAGATTATTCATATTTAGTTCAACTGCTGTCGTCTCCGTGAGGGTTTTATCCTCCTCAGCGGTCAAAGATCAGGATATCACTTTTTAGATTCCTCACTGTCAGAGCTCCATGGATACTCAGCAGACATTAAGTCTTGCAGGAATTGCTTTCATAGGGAACTCCATTCAATTCACACACCAGAGTCAGCTTAGAGGACTTTACAGGCTCCGGAGGGAGCTGCGTAAAGTCTAACACACTGAATCAAGTCGACTAAAGATTACATATTTAAAAAGTCGTATTAAGGAAAATGTGAAGGACCTTCACAAAACCTTGAATGAACCCTGTTTTTAACTGTTTTTATGTATTATTGGCATGATACGTGTGTTGTTACTGTTGACCAAATAAATAGCTTGATGGACTACTTCTTGCATCTAAAACAACACGAGTCTCTGAGTGGACTCCCCCACAAGGTGTAAATGGTTTAATCCACTCCTGCAGTAGTGAAGGATGAAAGTCTCCAGTTGTGTAATTGCATTTATGCTGATGTTGAGGATTTATGAAGGATAAAACTATCAGGGGAAAAGCAGCTGAGACAAAGTTCTTATAAACACAGCTTGCTAGCAGTGTTTTAGAATAAGAATTTAATATAATATAGCTGATTTTATAATAATTAGCAGCACCATCTGCTCATGTTACCGAGGATGCCAGACAAGCTGAGCGCATAAAGGTGTTTTATTAAAAGTCACTGTGGAGGTTTACACTGAGGGGAGATCTGCTTCAATAACACCAAGTGCTGCATATTATAAGTACTGAAGAACATGAATACAATTATTAT